TGCATGAGGTTTTATATGTGATTTGAGTTTTAGTAATGTTTCTTTTACAATTGTGGGTGCCTTTGTTTTGGGGGCTTTTATGTTCAGAACTGAGACTTTATCTTGATGGATTTCTCCTGTGATGAATATGAAATGCCCTTCCTTCTTCTTCACCTTTGATTGATTTTCCTTTAAAGCTTAATTTGTTGGATATTAGGATAGCTACATCAACTTGTTTCTTGGATCCATTTGATTGGAAAATCTTTAGATAACCCTTAACTCTAAGGTAATGCCAATCTATGAAGTTGAAGTGTTTTTCTTGTTTGCAACAGAAGTATGCATTCTGTCTTCATATCAATTCTGTTAGCCTATGTCTTTTTATAGGTGAGTTAAGACCATTAATATTGAAGGATATTAATGACCATTGATTTTTAATTCTTGTTTGTTTTGGATTTGTTGTTGCTGGTTGTATTATGTGTGGATCTCCCCCTATTTGTTTTTTTTTTTTTTTTTTTTTTTTTTTTTTTGGCTGTTGGTAAAGTGGAATTATATATTGCCTATGATTTAGTAAGTGTAGTTGACTTCTTTGGGTTTAGTTTTTCTTCTAGAACTGTCTTAGGGCTGTATTAGTTGATAAGTATTGCATAAATCTGGTTTTGTCATGGAATATCTTGGTCTTTCCATCTACAGTGATTGAAAGCTTTGCTGAGTATAGTAGTCTGGGCTGGCATCTGTGGTCTCTTAGTGTTAGTAGAATATCTATCTAGGACCTACTGGTCTTCAGATTTTACATGGAGAATTCAGGTGTAATTCTAATAGGTTTGCCTTTATATGTTATTTGGTTACTTGGCCTTTATCCTTTGCTTCTTTTAATATTCTTTATTCTGTACATTCAGTGTTTTATTGTGTTGAGAGGGTATTTTTTTTTTTTTTTTTTTTGTGGTCTGCTCTATTTGGTGTTCTGTAAGATTTTTGTACTTTCATTGCCATGTCTTTCTTTATGTTGGGAAAGTTCTCTTCTATGATTTTCTTGAATATATTTTCTGCACCTTTGAGTTGGGTTTCTTCACCTCCTTTTGTACCTATTATTCTTAGGTTTGTTCTTTTCACAGTGTCCTATATTTTCTGTTAGGGGTTTGTTGAACTTAAGATTTTCTTTGGTCAATGAATCTGGCTGTTCTTGTGTATCTTCAAAGACTGAGATTCTTTCTTCAATCTCTTGTATTCTGTTGGTTATGTTTGTGTCCTGATTGTTTACCCAGCTTTTCCCTCAGTTTGTGTTTTCTTTATTTTATCTTTTTCAGTTTTTAGGCCATGGACTGTTTGAAGTGTTTCCTTCATTTGTTTGATTGTCTTTTCTGGCTTTCCATAAGAGCTTTGTTGATTTTTTGATTTTTTTGTTTGGTTTTTCTTCCATTTCTTTGAAGGATTTTCTTCATTTCCTCTTTTAGGGTCCCTATCATCTTTGCAAAGTTGTTTTTAGGGTCATTCTCTTCTGTTTTATCTGTGTTGGGATGCTCAAATCTTAATGGTGTGGAGTCCCTAGACTCTGGGGTGTGTCATATTGATCTTCCTGTTGTTGACTGTGTTCTTTTACTGTAGTCTACCCACCCTTTTTCCAGTACATACTGGTGGGGTCTCTCCCACTACTGGTGAGTACAGACCAAGGAAACCTTCTGGTGGGTGCAAGAAAGTCCAATAATCCAATGGCTCTCCTCTTCCAGTGGGTGGAGATGTGACTAGGGTGCTGGCTGACTCTGGATGGGATGGTCTGCTAGGACGGATTACTTTGTGCACAGCTCCAAGTCCTCAGGGAGCTCAGAGGATGACATTAGAGCCTGGCTCCTTCTGTGGGTGGAGGCAGAATCAGGATGCTGGGAGACACTGGATAGTCTGTTCCTCCTGCATGGGCTCCCCATATGCGCAAAGGTTGTAGGCCTCAGGAGGCTCCTAGCAGGTCCCAAGAGGCAGTCATTATGATTTTCAATCCATGAATATATGCTCCTTGATAGCTCCTATTACTAAGCGTTAATGTCTAAATTCTGGTGGAATTCTTTTAATGTAACTCCAATCCCCCCCCCCCCGAAAGAAGAACACTGAAAATCAAACCAAATATTCAATATTTTAAGAATTTTCTACGTGGCTAAATTTTTCATGTGTATGTCGTATAGTGTTTATGTATCAAAATTCTATTAGAGTCACTTAAAGAGTTCAAAAAATTAAACTTCAAAGACTAAACAACATTACAAAGGTAGGAAGTCAAACAGTAGCTGTGACTACTGTCTTTCTGTTTCTGTCTAGCCTCTGTATGGGATCTAATCATCCATAGCTCCATGAATTTTCCTATCCACATTCATTAGGGGACACAGTGTGCTCAAAATATCTGAGAACATTCTTTGGTCTTTTATGGTCATACAATGTACCTACTATTCTGTATAGAAATGTCATCTTTGTAACAAGTTATATAAGTGAAAATATATTTTTGAATTTAAGGACTTACAGAATAGCTTAGAAAATGTCAATGTGATTTCTAATAGACAGTTAATATAGGGCCCACTGTGATCCACAAAGCAAGGTATATCTAAGGTAAGCTTTAGCTAGTTGCCTGACAGCAACTAAACACAGTAATGGGATGAGCCAGGTCTACTTGCAGCAACTTTTTATAGTAGCAATGCCTCTGAAGTCATGCTTAATTTGCCTCCAAGACCAACTTTTTATTTCTACAGAAACTTAGATTCCAAATTTAAGTACCATCATGAACATGAAATTCTTGCTTATGTTGAATCACTGTTTTTCTAAGCATAATAATTCAGCAATATGTTTATCAGTATTCTGAAGCCCAGTGTAACCCTAGAATAACTACAAACATGACTTTGAAAAGTTTTGTCCGCTTTAGTATTTAATGAAAACATGGCTGATGTTTAATTGCAGGTGTTTGCTTATAAGGACAGTTCAAGTGAGGTAATGTTTACAAACTGGGTTTCTGCATTCTTAGAATATATACCCAGATTTTGTTAAATATTGAAGAAAATATGAACCTTTTTAAAACAATTTCTGTTAATATGGAGAAAAATGAATTCAGATTTTTATTGTATAATTTTGCTACGCTTTTCCCACTTAAGCTTTAGAAAATTGCTGTATAGCTCATCAGCCAAATTTCTAGCTGAGATAATTTGGCTGTCTACAAGAGGCATAAACAAGATAATTGAAATGAGATAAAACATAATTGAAAAAGGAATTCTCAGCAGTGTGAGATGTGTTTTTAAAAAAGGGCTGGCTTCCAGAATGGGAGGAAATGTAATTCAAAGTGCCCACTGTTTATGTTCCATGTATGGAGAAGGTTCAGGCTCTGAAGATACCCCAGAGTGAAATGAAGAGAGGAAAAGGGTTCATAGGCAAATTGGTTGCATAGCAACATGCAGATTTACTAACATAATGAAAATGTCTACCAGGGTTTACCTAGTATAAAGCATACAGTACAAATACCACATGCAACCACCAGAGGACCGAAACAAATGTACAAAAGTACTAAATGTAGTAAGTACACTTTACATTTGGGACTGTGTTCATTTTCTGAGCCTGGTAACAAGAATGGAGCCGAGAATACTTTCACATCTATAATCACGGTGATGTCTGACACACAATGAAAAACAAAATTGAATGTATGAGTCAATCCACACAGGGTCGTTGAAGACCATGGTATTACTGACAGTTTTATAACAGAAGCACTGTTTAGGAGGTCAATCTGGGATAGAGACAGTGGGCCTTAGGATCTAGATCATCTGAAGACTAGCAATGTTCAATTTGACTCAAAGATGGGGCAGCTCTGCTCAGCACAGTGAGGCAGGGACTAACCCTTCTCTGTGTCAATGTACAGCAAAAGTTCAGGCTGAGACTTGCAGAAGTTGGCCCTACTCACATGAAGTTCAGAGAATAGGGAAACCCTGTGGCATTGAGGGACTGGGCTATAGTGCCTCTGGCATCTTCTTTTGCAGCCTCTATGATTTAAATGCTGATTTCAAAGGCTCTTCAGACCATGGAAAAACGTATTCAAAAGCTTCTGAATCTTTGATGACTGTTTTTTTTTTGGGGGGGAGGAAATGTTCCTGAATTGGTAACTAATATAACTGTAAAAGACATTTAAATCACTCACTTTGTATTGGTAAAAGAGAATAGTGCTTTACAGCAATTTATCTAAAACAGTAACTTTCTCAGAAGTATACATGTATGAATATAATGAAGGTAAATGATGTTTATTCTATGTGGATAAAGCATGTTTCCATCACACAATTTAATGATTGTACAGTGAGAGCCAAAAAGTACCCTATGTTTGAATGACAGAGTAATAGTTTTAGAATGCAGCTATCTGTGATTTCTGCAGCAAACATAGATGTACAATGGAGAGAATATATTAACTATAAAGTTGCCCTGTGATGAAAGAAAGAGAAAAGCAATAGTTTTTTGAATCTCTAAAGCTCCCTACTGCATGACATTTTACACACCATAGCAGAGATGAAAGGACAAAGCGCAAGAAATCAAAGATGCTTGTGATTAGTTCTGACATCATATCTGTTTTTAGCTTTTCTCCTTCTAACATTCAACATTTCTATGGGCTCTCTATGTTTAATTTATGATGGAAACTCTGGAGTCCTCCATCAGAGAGATACACTACCAAACATATTGACAACAGAGTTTCACATTGATGACACAGATTTACTTTAATGAAAAGCTGTGTTTCCATCATATGTACATAGTATAGGCAACCACACTTTCTGATCTTACATTTTAGTGAGACATGGAACATGCAATAAATTTTTTAGAGCCCATCGTTAGAATATATTTTGAATTTGAACTTAATATATCAGTTTGTTATATTTGCATGAAAAATACCAAATATTTATTAACACTTCATATAAAGTGCTAATACAAAGATAAGTAAAATCCAATTCCCATCATCAATATTGCCCATATTGCAATCCTGAAAGCAATGAAAGAGATTTTCATTATGCTTGTTTCCTTAGATAAATTTGCAAAGAAAAATGAGAGTTACTGGTGTTATTACCCAAGGAGCCAAAAGGATTGGAAGCCCAGAATACATAAAATCCTACAAAATTGCCTATAGCAACGATGGGAAGACCTGGGCAATGTACAAAGTGAAAGGCACCAATGAAGACATGGTAAGACTTTACTCATCCTACAGAATTTAATTAAAATTCCATGATGACTACATGTTATCAATTGACACCTGAGCATTCGCTAGAGGCTTCTATTAAAATATATTTCTGCAGCTTTTCAGATTTAATCAGATAGATGGGGCAGGGCTTCCCTAAGCTGGGAATTTCTAACATCTGCCACTGAAGATTTCCCCAGATTTTAATTGATTCTCCTATAAATACTTGTCAAAAAGTTAGCAAATGTTGATCAAAATAAGTGAGCTGCCTTAAGGACAACAAGCTTTTCAATCCATTCTCCTAGCTTTCACAGATGGCCTTCTCCTTGGTCAAATAATCTACTATGTTAAAAACAAGAGCACTACATGAAAAGATGTATATTTGTGCATGTGTTGCATTTTGGAAATGTATCTATTACTGATCAGAAGAAATTTTTATGAAAGAAATGAGTATGGCATCTAATATCTTCTTTTCCTTTGGTGTTCAGAACTTTAAGTGAATTCATTTTTAAATAACATCAAAAGTCTGGGTAAGATGAACAGAAGAAATGGTGTTTACCAGAAAAATCTATTGATTTTCAAGTGGATAACCTCAGACTAACTTGAAGGATTTAGGGTGCTAATTTTTAAGAGAGATGTGATTGACAGACAGACAAAAAAGACAGATGATATAGGTGATAAACAGATGACATATGGTTATATATGTATATACATGTAGAGAGAGGTGGAAAGAAAGAGGGAGATAGAGACAGAGACAGGAAGAATGACTTCCTCTGGCTCTGCAGTCCTGGCCTTTGAAGTGGTAGAAGAGAGGGCTGGAGAGATAGCTCAACAGTTAAGAGCACTTACAGCTCTTGTGGAGGACTATAGTTAGGTTCCCAGCACCTACACTATAGCTTACAACAATCTACTTATCTACAGTTTCAAGGGATTAGATGTCTTTGTCTAACCTTGGTGGATACAAGACACACACATTATGCCTATACATACATGCAGGCAAAACACTCATACTCATCAAATTAAATAAACAAATCCTTACAAAAACTTAAAAATTAGTCAGGTAAGTATGATCATGTCATAGTACGCAGTGTTTTATTTACAAGTGACTTTATTTACTGTTGATGACAAAGTGCTTCATAATTCTCAGTTTTACTTTATTATAATCTTTTAGGAATTGTGTTGAATGTATTTTCACATGTACAAAATATAGTTTAAAATCTATTGAGTGTATATATATAAACATCTTCAGGCACACACACATATATACATATATTCATATATGGGCATACATATGGGTAACAGTCTCACTATGTAGTCTAAGCTGACTTTGAACTCATGGTGATCCTCCTGTCTCATGGTTATTCTGCTGTCTCAACTTCCATAATACTGGTATTGCAGGCATGAGCTGTCATGCCCAGCTTTTAAAATACTGTATGTCTTTACACAGGTGTTCCGTGGAAATGTTGATAACAACACACCCTATGCAAACTCTTTCACACCCCCAATCAAAGCTCAGTATGTCAGACTCTATCCCCAAATTTGTCGGAGGCACTGTACATTAAGGATGGAGCTGCTTGGCTGTGAGCTCTCAGGTAAGTCTCCTGTTTTCTATCATGGAACTGTCTTTAGTGAGAACAGAAAGCATCTCAGTATGTGCTTAGCTACTAATATCTAGGTTTGCAGCACTCACAGAAGTTTATTTATTCTAGAATATATGTAGGGCATGGTTCAATGAGAAAATTCATGCTGTTTATGTGTCAAATAAAGTTGTAAGCCACCCTACAGAAATAGTACAGTGTCAAGTAATCAAATAGAATACCAGAAATTCTCATGAGAATCTGTTGTCAAAAGATGTGCTCCATTGATTTTGGTTGTAAATATGATTTATATTTAGTAATGAAAGTTCAATTTAAAAATACAATCTGCTTGACCTCATAAATTGTGCAAATTTAGGCTGTAAGTTCCAAAGAAAGTAACTTTTATCTTTAAACTTGGTGCTTTCTTTTTTGGTTCTATGAAACATGTAAATTTGTCATCCCTCTCTAGGGAACAATACTTCAACACCAAGAGTACTACTATAAATTCATTCTTGTAGCATTCTCAACTAGCAACCTGCTTATTATATAAGCTCAAGGGTAATACATCAAAGAACATAGAGCTAAATAATTCTCCTGAAGGATCATCCATACAAGATAAAACCAAAAAAATATTGTGTCTGGATCCAATTTTATATTTGTAATTATATTCTGAATTAAATAGAACATCATTTCTGCTTATTCACTCAATTATGTTTTAGAGAGCTGTTACTGTATTTCATGCATATAAACTTAACCTATCTTGGGAAGGTGATAAAAGATTTCTTATGTTCAAACAACTGTGAATCAATTGGAAAGTTCACTTGTGTCAGGTTTTAGTATAATGCCCCAAACAGGGAAACTTCTTACCAAATTTGAAAGAATACAGCCACTATAAAAAATTAACTTAGTCCTTTGAAAATTTTATACTTGTGTTTAATTGATGTTTATTTCTCTCTCTTTTTCTCTCTCTCTCCCTCTTTCTCTCTTGCCATCCTGTAACTCCTCTGACCCCATGAACTGTGATTTTTTTCCCTACTAGAATCCTTTCCTAGAGGAGAAAAACCAAGGAAATGATTGTAAGCAAATAGAAGAGGTTATTAAAAAGGAGTATTCTTTACCAGCCCATTCATAGAAAGAAATCAGAGTAAATTTGCTATATGAGCGAACCTACTTTAAGAATCACATGTCCATAATCTATATCAGTGTTGTTGATGATAGAGAAAGATGTTCACTGCCATTCATTATCTTCAGAGATGTATTTTTTAATTATTTGGACCATATTATTGATTGTTACGATATGTGAGCAGAATTATTGCTACAGATTGTTTGTATTGCATGACACTTTATCACCAGAGAACAGTGTCATCCCTAAGCCATTCATCATAAAGCAATCAGGAGGAAACCACAGTATGATGATGTTTGCAGCAAGCCCTGTGGGTTTTTCTTTCTTTCTTTTTTTTTTTTTTTTTTTTTTTTCTTTTTTGCTTTACATCACCTTCCCCACTTCTTCAATCCTGTGATTCATGAGGGCCAGCTTCTCATACATGACACACTTACACCCTTAAGGTGTAAATATATTTTGCTTGCAAGCTTGACAAGCGGTTACAACTGACACTATACAGACTTTATTTTCTGAAAAGGAAGTAGTTCTCTCACTCCCAATCCTACAAATTGATTTTAAAATTGGGTGCAGATAGCAGTATCTCTTACTGACTGACTTTAAAGACTGGAGAGTGTTTCACCATAGAAATAATCAGTGCTTATGCAATACTTTATTTTTTATGTCTATTCATACTGGTAAAAGAGGTAATTAATTTGTATTCACAAAAACACATGAATGAGACAGGAAATTTATGAGTTATATAAAGCCCATTGCTAAATAATTTACCTGTGATTCTTCAAAATAAACATTGACAAAATATTTTATAATATTTCACTCAGTGTGTGCAATACTGTAAAGTCCAAGTCTCCCTTATTATTTTCAACAGTTGTAGATCTTCAGTATTATCTAGAACATCTTTTAAATTGTATGAAAGATGACTGGGGATGTTTGGAAGGAAATAGAGCCTAATCACAGTTGGAAGACTAAAACTCATTCACCCATTCTTTAATTAATTATTATTTTTAAAGAATAATAATTATTTAAAGCTCTATTTATTAGCTATGTACTGGAAAACATAATGGATATGAAATGAATTTTGTGATTAAAAAGAAATTGTTAAAGGCATGACTTATCTATCCAATTTATAGAAATTTAATAAGAAAAGAAAAATTCACCCAGAAATGATGTTCTATTTCATGTCTTCTGCAAACTAAACAAAATTTTGCAATGATTGGTCTGTAGCAGGGGCCAAGGTCAGGATACAAATAAAAGAATTCATAAGTCATGAAGACAGTGTACACTACTTTGGGATTGCCTGAAGATAAATATCATGCCATTATGATTATTAGAACTTTCTAGAATTTTGGGCGCTGCTAGGACTATGAATTGTTTTTCCCTCAGAGCTTACATGTTGGCTTTTAAGCTTCTTTACCATTGGGTTTAAGATGCAAGTCTCCTCAATATGATTCTGGTTAAGAAAACAGCCTTCCATGCCTTCATTTGCTATGTTGTTCAAGTAAAGATGGAAGAACAGACTACACAGAGGAGCATCAGCTTCAAGAGGAAAGACATCATTCAGATCGACTAGTTCAGATAGCAATTAGCTGAAATCAGTTACTATCAGTGGAACGTTCTATGTTTTGTCTCTAAGATGCCACACATAAAACGCTCTACACTGAGCAACAGTGCCCAGCTATAGGATGCTAAATTGTAGTCACTGAAATGTTGATACTTGGAGACTTAATACTGCTTTCTGTTGAAGTGAGTTTTATGGAAATAATAAAAGAGCTCATTCTTACTCAGTACTGACTGTGCCAGTAATATTTCTAAATACTTGGTATTTTATCAACTAATTTCCAAAGATATCTGCCCAAGGTGGATTCTATTGCAATCTTCATTTTGGAGATTTGAACACTGAAATGAAAGAATAATAGGTATAAGACCACACATCCAGTGAAATGAAGACCAGTAGAGTATGAAGGAAGGAAGGCATTGTGCTGGGGAAGTTTATGCTTTTTCCTTTGCCCTTTAACAATCTATTTCATCTGGCCAAGTCTTAATCACCAAAGGACATAAAGATAGATGCATGTCTCCTACAGAAATCTAGCAAGTTTTTTTTAGCATACCCACATAAGTACACAACATTTTTAATACCATACAACCCAAAATCATAGCATATCAAAATTGGAAATACATGTGGTAAAATTGATAATCTGGGAAACTAGCAAAGACTGACCTGGACCTCCTGAACGTGGGTCTCAGTTAGAAGGCCTAGGCAGTCTGTGGAGCCTCTGGCAGTGGAACCAGGATGTATCCTAGGTGCACAACCCGACTTCAGGAGCCAATTTCCCAGGGAGGGATATTCCCTTAGCCAAGAGACACAGGGAAGGGCTTAGGACTTACCCCAAATGACTTGACAGATTTTGATGATCCCTCATGGAAGGCCTCAATATCCCTGGGGAATGGATAGGGGATGATATGTGTGGGGAGTCAGTAGGGACCATTGGAGAATGGGAGGGAGAAAGAACTGGAATTGATATGTAAAATAAGAAAAAATTACATAATAATAAGAAGACCAAAAAATGTATTAAATGTTATTTAGTTTGAAAATGAGAATTTGTGGAAATAATGAATGGTTTTAGTTAGAGGTTGTTTTTCATATTCTTGTTGTTTTACTCAATTTCCTAAATTCCATAGCTGTATAATGCCTGACACGTGGTAATATACTAGGTAAATAGTATCTTCCTCCCTCCTACAGGAAGCCATATCTATCTATACCATCCAGCACTCATAGATGGGGTTAGGATGGCTAGAGTACAAGGCCAACTTGGCTACACTGAGAGACCCTGTCTCTAAACTGTAAGAGTTGTGCATATTTCTTAGACAATAAAACATTGTCCAGTTTAGAATATTGCTATGGAACAATTTATAAAAATGACTCTGTGCTAGGGGAAATTTCATTGGTGATATTATGAAAACAAATAAAAGAAAACCAAATATACTTTATGAGAAAAATGCCCCATCCTCCAAGATACAATAAAATTGTGGAAAACTAGGGAACAGTCATGAGGCTCCCAGTAATGAGACAGAAGAGAGCATTTTGGCAATGTTTTCATTTTGCAAAATCATCTATCATAGAAAAGTATTCTGAATTGTCTGTCTTGTTTTCAATTTTCCAAAATGTATTCAGATAAAATAGCTTGAATTGGCTATCTTGTTTTTATATTTTATTCCAGATTTATTTCTGATTATAGCTCCTCTTTTGAATTTAGATGGCCTCTCTTTGGGGGAATGAATAGTATTATGTTCAGTCTTCTCTTGCTACTCAGAAATAAACCAGGAAAAGGTCCAGGATGATCAATTGTTTACTTCATGGAGTTCTTCTCCTTCTACCAGGCTGTTCAGAACCTTTGGGGATGAAATCAGGGCATATACAAGACTACCAGATTACTGCCTCCAGCGTCTTCAGGACACTCAACATGGACATGTTCACTTGGGAATCAAGGAAAGCCCGGCTGGACAAGCAAGGCAAAGTAAATGCCTGGACCTCCGGCCACAATGACCAATCACAGTGGTTGCAGGTAATGTTTCCTAGTCTACCACTCCCGTTCTGTAGAGACTTTGTCTTAGTGGCTAGTCGAATTACTTTACACTGCTTTAAATATGCTTTCATATTTGCCTTTTCTAATCCAGGAAAACAGAAATAACTTATGAAACCATATCTTTGGCCTGTATTCATTCAGCATTGATATATAGATGCAGACCATGAACAAACTGGCTGGGTAAACTATACCAGATTACACTGTACATACCTGATCAGATTTGTAGTTTGCCTGATCAAGTTTGAGACAATCTGCTTGCCAAGTTTTATCCCTTCTGATGTTTCATATTTTATTTAATATTGACAATTAACATCAGAATCTGAAAACACTGGAATCACGCCACTGACCTGCACGGAGTCTCATAGTGCCATGACTCATGACTAAGCATCTCTTTACCAGTCGTTGCAAAACAATGGGACAATTTGATTACACTCTCCCATACAATTAAATTATGAAAGAAATAAGGATTCTACAAAGTCTGTTAGTCACTTTGAATTAAAGTAATGTTACATCTGATTCTTTTATAAATAGTCCTCTTGAAATACCTTTATTTTTGGGATACCTTTATGCATAGGTAGTTATGTTAATAACTGCTGTGACAACAAAAATATGATGACTCAATTTCATAATGAGGTTAGTTTCTTTCCTATGTATGAGCTCCACTTGAATTTTACATTTATTATTAAGTTTAAAAAACTGTGACAAACCATGGAATATCCACATACCGTAAATACACTTAAAACAACAAATCAAATACTAACCCTTATCCAGTCATCTAAAGTTTCCAATAATCTTTTTCAGTTTTGTCACTGTATTTTAGAATATTATATTCCAACAATTAGTAATAATCAATAATTTTCTATAGGTGCCTTAAATTTTTTCTTTTTTAGATTTTTTTTTTTTTTTTTTTTTTTTTTGAGACAGGGTTTCTCTGTCTTGTTTTGGAGCCTGTCCTGGAACTTGCTCTGTAGACCAGGCTGGCCTCAAACTCACAGAGATCCACTTACCTCTGCCTCGTGAATGCTGGGACTAAACAAGTAAGCCACCAACACCTGGCTTATAGCTGCCTTAAGTTTAACTTGACTCTTTTATTACAGGTAATGTTTGTTACGAGTTTTTAAAGCAGGCACTTGTTTACTGTATACTTCTATGTCATCCAACCTGTCGTTCTTATCTAACCTGTAGCACTTCTCACTACATTAAATCATCAATGTAATAACTGATTATGTGTCATGCACCCCTGAAGCCTCACAGGGGCTCTAGCACCAGCCCTCTTCATGCTTCGAAGGCAGCATTTGTCATAGAATTCATTTTTAAATTGACTGACATGACACCAAACATTGTTTTCCTCTTTGCTGAAGTTGCTAAGTGTTCTCTCCTAATACCACCCTTTATCTATCAGTTACCATCTCACTAATGTGTCTCTTACCAACCCCACAGGCTTGGATTAACTGATTTACCAAGTATCAGTGATTTTAGGCACTAGAATTGTCAATTATTACCATTCTTGTAATCCTACTGTCACATCCTGAGTGGAACTGCCACCCATATTTCTTTTATCCTGAAGCTCATTACCAGTCTTCCGAGTTACTATTCCTGTGCTTTAAAAATATTCTGTTTTTTCTAATCATAAGGGGTGAGCATGAGTGGGAGGCATGTTCATGTGTGTATTCTAAAATGCAAATACAGTTTTCTTTCACTCTTGCTGAAAATTTTTCAGTTGATCTCTCTAGGCCTGAGAATGAAATATAAATGCCTAATATAGCTAAAAATCTTTCCCTGATTTGTCCTCATTTATCTTTTGCCACACATTTTAATTTCCTCAAACTTAACACCATCTGTCTCTTGCTGTTCTGTTATAAACTTACTCTCTTCCTAGAGAAAAGAAAAAAGCATCAGCTATGGCACAAGAGAGATCCTTCAGCTTAGCTTTGGGTGTTGCTTTCTGTACAAAGACTTAGCTGTTAGCTATGCACTACCAGTATCTGATCCAGGATCTCTCCTATTTACAAGTCTCACAATACCCCCATGGAGGCCTGAAAACATAGATCACACTGAATCATATAGACATTTTTTTATTTGTTTGTTTTCCCAATATGCTTTGCGGTACTGTCAATCTGTAAGGAACTAAATTAATTCCATCTTTGTTCGGGCTTTGGTGATTCTTTTTCATCATTACTCTTGTGTTTGTGTGCAATTGAGAAGTAAAATAAATTTTGAACAAAGTCATTTCAACATAGTGATAGGTTACATAATCAACATGGCTGTTCAATGGTTAATGGGCAGGTAGCATATACAGCATAGATACACTCAACAATGAGATGACTCATATGCTGGGCACTATAGAGTGTGGCAGCTCAACATCCCATAGCTATTTAAGAATTGGAATTTCTACTTAATGCTTTCAAATCAGGTTGGTTACCAGCAACGAGAAAATGAAGAAGTAAAATAATTGAAATAAGGCTGCTACTTTTACCATGCTTCAATAAAATATAAAGCTTTTCAGTAAAAATATAGAGCAATTTTGAAATTGGAATCATGTGATAGATTGTTATATTGAAATGGTGTATTGAAATTGCTGTCTGTTTACTTTCTCAGCTTATACTCCAGTACCAAATAAAATATAATAATACTGATGTGTAGGAGATAATTCATAATGACTTATTGTATGGATAGAATTATTTCAAGTGAAATTCAAGTAATGCATTTATATGTATATATGGTATATATTTGATATTTAGTATAAAAAGACAATTGATATATATATATATATATATATATATATATAAAATCTCAAATAATTTTTCTGTACTAGGTATCAAATTAACTCAGGCATATTAGGCAAGCGTTTTGTCATTGAATAACAAGTGCAACCCTCACAATTATCATTAAGGTTTCCAATATAATTCATCAAAGTTCAACCTTTTAAAACACATTATAATATTAATATATGTCCTTAATATATATATAATAATAACACATGTCCTTGAAATTACCCAGTGTGAATAAACCATGAACAATGTCTGTTGCCTTGTTTAGTATTAAAAATGATAAACTAATTTTGACATGTGGCTATAAAATATTTTGAAAATATAATTATCCAATTCACCCTAAAAATTATCTGAATATAAGTAGAGTACTGAAAAATATTGTACACACAAATAACAATTCAGGCACATAGGCATTCTATAGAAATACACACATAAAGGAATGGCTAAAGGCAAATTTCTTTAGAAAAATAAAATGAAAAGCACACTTACACAGCTAGAGATGCAAATTTCATAGCAAATCTCCAGGCATCACTTTGTATAACATGTCTTCTTAAAGGCTCCTGCACACTGGTACCGATTCATTCTCCTGATAGATATTTTCTGTAAATTCTGAGACTAGTTCTTCAACTGGATACCCTAATTTTTGTCATGTCAAACATATCAAGACTCTCCAAGAAAAAATAAATTGACAATTTTTCTGACATTGTGCAAGGAAAGACTTCCAGAATGTGACTATGTTTCCATGTTTTCTACTTAAGAGGGTATAATCTATTCACTGCACACTGTTAGCATGGGTGCTGGGTAGTGTATAGTTTGAAGTATGATTGATATTTGTACAAAATAATGTATATGTTGATTTTTTACCTGATGACATATGGAGCAATTTTCATCCTTAAATGAGGTTTCTGTAATAATTCATTTAATTGCCTTTTAATATGCAGTTTATAAATAGTGAGCAATAGCTCTTCAGAAGATCAGCCATTCTGCCATCTGAATTACCTTTCTTCATTATAAACTTTTTCTTAATTTTTTTAGAAAGTTACTTTCACATATCAGCAATAAATAGAAGAGTTTTATTTAAGCTTAATGTTTTGTTATAACTGAAACTACTAATATTTGTAAATGAAATTTATTGTAAATTAGTCCTCTTCTATTTAATTATGAAATTTTAGAAGGGATATTTATGTATTCCTTGAAGAATTCCTATGTTTTAAATATAACTTCCATTCCATGTGCAGTGCTTATTAGTACTCTAATTACTGCCTGTGTCTTCTGTGATATGAAAGTGTCTGGAACTCTCATACCCATACTGCCATGTTAGTGTTTTGTGTGTGAAGATCATGAATGATAAGCTCTCTTGAATTACTGCTAATCATGAATCCTTAGGAAGGGTCTACCTAAACATGGCAAAAGTGTATTTAGGTTGACAGACAACCTTAAAGGGGCATTTTTCAGACTTTCTATAGAATAGTCTTCTACCATGCTGTGATGCTTTCCCTTAAACTCAATAAAATGGTTAAAACTGTACGAAAAGCCCCATCAAGATGGTTTCTAGAATTCTCACCAAAGTTAAAGTATATTTTCTGTTTCTTAAACTCTCATTGTTACAGTAAATGAATGATCCTACAGTAATAATATCTGTTTTATGGATATTCCTCACACATAGTTGGATTACATAAAAAAAAAAAAAACTTCACCCTTATAAGAGAGAATCATATCCACTGGGACTGGGCTCTACATCCCCACATTTGATTAGCTATAGTTTTCTGTAATGATTTCCATCAGTCTCAGAGAAATTTCCTCAATAGGGGGTGAGGGCCACACTTATCTTTGTGTATCAGGAAGCATAGTTAGAATGTATTAGAGATTATGCTGGTTTAGTAAAGTGTGGCTTATAGATTGTACTCTAAGATCTATGATGTCACTAGCTCTGGATAGTTGACTAGTTGACTAGGTCTCCACAACCATTCAGTCATGATTTCCCTCATATTAAGCAGTTCTTAAATTGAATTGACATAGAGTTTTTAGTTACTGCCAAGGTGCTGGGGTCTTAGCCCAAGGTTGATCTGGGTTCCAACAAAGGTAAGGGCTCTGTCTGTCTGTTTCCCAGCCTCCTGAGACAATCAGACACAGTAGGGAGTCTAGTCAAGCAGGAATTCATTTACTGTCAGTACACACACACACACACACACACACACACACACACAC